AATACGTTCATATGTGTGAATTTACATAGAGATATAGTAAGCTCGGGCATATGAATATGATTAGTGTTGTTTGAGAGAAATCACTAACTACATCGGGTTAATTCGATTGTTAGCTCGTATGAAAAATGGTTGAATGAATTGGAATTAAATGTATGATAAATAACCTAAGTGAAATTGAAAATTCTAACTATCTAATCACATAATCTTATCTCCAGTTTTAATTTAAGTTTGTTATTTTAATTAATAGTTTGCTATTTTATTTCTTAGAATTTCGCGTAGAAGACAAAATTGATCATTAGTTATCATTTTAATTTAAATTGAAGTTAGATTAGTTTAAAACTTTATAGTAAATAGTAGTCTCTGTGAGACATATTTGGACATGATAATCCACATTATTACATGTTATGATCCGTACACTTGCAGAATTTCACGAACATTTATTATCCTAGAATCTCTCTATGAAATTCCTCTCCTCTCTCCCTACAAATACAAAAATTCTCTTTGTACATGTACAAACACAAAAGGCACAAAAAATGAAGGCTGTCATAATGGACTAAGCTTTGAATTGGATTCATTTGGTCGAACTTCAATTGTTTCACACACGGTATCGATTTAGATTTTAGTTCATAGCAAGTAGCGTTGTTAATTGTTATATGCTCTAATCATGATTCTAATAAGAATTTCTAGGGAATAGCCAAATCTCATAGCCAAGACCTAATAGCAATTCTTACATAGGTGAGTCTTCCAAGGATGCGTGTGACTCACACCTCGCGAAAATTCTATTCGATGTACTCATTCAAGGTTAAACTCTTCCTAACATCACATTTATTATTAGCAATATCACAATAAGGATGACAACATATAAAATAGTGTTATTACAAATCACGTAATACGAGTTGTTTCTACCACATTAAACCCTCTTCATGGGATCTCCAATCACAAAAAATGGATTACTCCTGAATGTGACTCCCTTATATGCTTAAGCCCATCCCCTCGATAATTTATTTATGTCCCACATGGACAATAATTTATTTCATGTCCCTCTTGGACAATTTGGACCATATATTTGCAAAGCTATTTCGCTTCCAATCTATACATCTGCAAATTCTTCTCAGAAAATTTTAAATTATAATCATATAAGTACATGAAATTTTAATGTTGACTTTAGTAAAGTGTTTGGGAATATGCATCCATTGAGTTCTTGCATTTCACCTGCAGATCTACAATTTAATTTTTAACACTTTTCAGTAGTCAATTTACAATTAAGAATAATAAAATATATAATGTTTTTATTTGAAATTTTAAACACTCCCACATTCCAAAAATATTAAGTTTGTAGAGCTTTTTCACCACATTCCAAAGTTTAAGTCCCATTTATTTATTTTTCTCACTATCCAATAAAGCATTGAGTTTATCATTCCTCAATACAAAATAATTTTGTACAGCCTAAAGCATAGCACAAGCATAACTTAATACAACAAAATGCAGATCATAATACTTATCCTTTTCAATTAAGAAGACATAAGGGAAATTTGCAGCAACAGTCCCTAACCTTTTCATTTTTTACAAATTTTACCATAACTTTTATTTTGTGCCAACAAACGTCCTTAACCTTTCATAAATATGTATCTGGAGTTCAAAAACATTTATTTGACCGTTAGTTACTGGGAAAATTGGACTTTGATCAATTTTGACTAAATTGAAAGGGTAAAATAATACTTTACATTTTTCTTGTATTAAATATGTTAAAAAAATAAATTAAAACCCCAAAAAATAAAAATAAATATATAAATCCACACCCACCCCTACCCCACTCCACCCAACCCAACCCAACCTAACCCAATCCAAAATCGACGAGGTCTCTTCTTCTCCAACAAGACCTTACCAGACACCGCCACCACAACTCTCACTCACCACCACACATTACCAATGTTGGCACCCTCCATCGCCACCTTCCAACTTACTACATATTCGAAAATCAAAACAAGAAAACTCACCCTCACGGCCTCACATTCGAAAATCAAACTAAGGAAAATCACTGATTTCATCTTTATCAAACCTATAATCCAAATCGTACCCCACTCAAATCAAAACCACTATTAAAATTCTCCCTAGTGAATTTGTCAATGGGAAAATTGCAGTAGCATGAGATCGGGATTTGAAATTCTAGAAGTTGCGTCGATTGTTTGTCCCCTTTTTTGTTGAAATACCATCTTCAGATTAGACGTCTAAATTGTGGGAGTCAATCGGTGATATTCTGCTATGGTGGGTGTGATTAGAGGAGGAGTTGCCGACAGTTTTTGAGTTCGCGAGTTAGGAGTTTTTAGCAGTGTTCTAAAACTCGTGAAAATGCGCCGCCTAAGCGCGACGCGCGGTCAAAACCCGTCGAATTCGGCGACGCTCGGAAAAATGCGTTTCCATCTAAAAGGCGGTGCATTGCGCGTGCCTAATCCCGCCTAGGCACGCCTAATGCGCGCATTATGCCGCCCAATTTTTTTTTGGGTAAAAAATCTATTTTTTTAATATAAAAATATATTTAATGCCTTAAAAATACTAAACGCATTATGACGCTTATTCTTCACATTGACACGCCTAAACTTGTGATTCTTGATTCTCGAACTCGTCGCATCGCAACGCATTACGCATTTTAGAACACTGATTTTTAGTGGTTATTCCAGTGACATCTGGTGGAGCAAGGGCTAGTGGTTGGGTGGGATGTTTAAATGGGGAATGAGGACTTTCCAGTGATATATGGGTTCGACAGTTTGGGTGGCGTTGGGGAAGAATTTAAGTGGTGGTGGCTGATTTTCAGTTGTAAGGGGTAGGCTGGGGGTGAAGAAGAAACCATGTTTTAGTTTATTTATTTAATGGGGTAATTTTAAACTTAACATTTTACCCATTCCGATTTAGTTAAAATTAGTCAAAGTCCAATTTTATTGGTCAATTAACGGTTAAATGAATATTTTCCATCCATTTGAACTCTAGATACATATTTACGAAAGGTTAGGAACTTTCGCTGGTACAAAATGACGGCTAAAGTGTAGTCTGCGAAAATAAAAAAAGCTAGAGATCGTTGCTGCAATTTTCGCAATTCTTAATGCGTATTATATGCATTAACTACCAACACACTAACCAAGACTTTAGATTGTTGAAAAATGGATGATTTGTGTGTAAATAAATTAACAATTAACATAACAATTTTAAACATAAATATAAGTAATATAATTCATCAACAATATAAACATAGGAAGAGGGTTAAAAATCAAGTTTTAGGGAGTCATGTCAAGGAATCTATTCTAAAGTTGTGTTGCTTCCATTTTTGCCGGTTCTTTCGACACTACAAGGCTCCAAAATAAAATCCACGTGGCTCACAGTCGGTTCTCCTTCTATAGACACGATCATAGGAAGATAAAGAACGAGTCTTTATCAAATTGAAACCAAAGCTGAAAATTAAAATAAAGTAAAAACCGAAAATTAAAAATTAACTTTAATTTTGAAATTTAAAACTTATTTGTCTTTTATGTTACAACATAATGCGCCGGAGCGAAAAGTTGTCGCCGATAGCAACATTAATACTAGATCAGAGGTCCCTTGGAATAATAATTATCGCTATTCTTTTCATCTTTTACATCTGTACTATTACGATCGATTCGATGCTCAACTTTCTTGTGATAGAACTTTGGCCTCGAATATACGAAGATTTCCACCATCTTGTGCATTATTGAGGAAAAGGGGGTTCAGAAAGAATTAATTTATATAATATATTTAAAGTTTCTACAAGTTTGGTTAAATATTTAAACCACCGTTGCAATGTAGTGGAATAAATTCATTGTACGAGTTATTATCAAAATCTAAGTAAAATAGAGAAGTAACGTAGTAGAAATACAAGGATAAGACTCCCACAAAAAAAAAAAACATATCCATCGTACTAATCGAATATTAATGTAAAAAAAAGCCTATCTCCGCCATGGAATTATAATTAATCAGTGGCCGTTCCTCAACAATTTTAGACGCTGCACCGAATTGATAAAAGTTCTGCAAAACAAATTCCAAATTTGTATTAATTTTTATTATTACCAATTTTTACAAATAAAATGTTATATTTTACTTGGAAATTGTTAATTTATTAATCAATTATATAATATAATAGCATAATGAAGACTTACTCCCAAGGCATATCTCCAGCAAGCAGCCAATCACCTTCTTTATCTTGATATGTAAGCTTGTAGCCCTGCACTTTTTCCTGATTAAACACACACAAAAAGAATAATCCTTTAAATTTGAATGAGTTACATGAAAATAGTGATATATTTGATAGATGGATTGAACATGTACGAAATTTATGCTACTTACATTGTCGAACATGGCCATCAAGGTCTCAATCAGTGTTTGGTACGAATGGTGACGACTTAAGTCTACCTTTCTTGCTATCCCAACTCCTTCCATCTTCACTTTAACATACGTGAAATTGGATCTTCCTCCACTTCTTTCACCGCCGTCACGGCCACCGTTCTCGACCGTCACATAGTTCATGATGGTGTTGCGGCCACGACGGTTCTGGTGGTGGTGGCAAATCTTCTTCCTCCAAGAGTTAATGGGTGGCCAGCCCACAACCCGATCTTCCTCATCACAAAGATCAATATGGTCCAACAATGACAACGTTTGAGGGACTTGTACACTCTTGATTTCCTCAAAAGTTTCATCAAAACTTCGTTTTCTCTTCATTAATCTGCTATTTTCTTCTTGTCGTTCCTCGTTGCGATCATTAAGGTCGAACCCTTCATCTAAATTGCTCGAAAGTGCGAGTTCCAGTTGCAAATTCATGTCTTCCAAGAACAACACAAGTTACCCACAAATCAATATATAAAATGAACTTCTAGTCTAGACAGAGAAATGGATTTCAAGGGATTTGTGTATATAGTAGATTGTGCACATTATATAAATGTAAACACTCGTGTATATATTATATAGAGCTGTGGGGTCGAGAAGTGTGAGGTGATGTGGGCAACATTTTTGCAAGTATGTCTTTGCCATTGCCGGACTTTTAGCCGACACAAAGGCTGTGGTGTTCCCAATTTGTAATCCTATTTGGAGCCGACAATAGGGTTTGTCGATTACATTGAATTTCCTATGTTGTGTGGTAATTCAACACACATTCAATGCGCGTCCCCCAACTCTTACCCACTCTTTACGTCATTTCGCTACCCTGGATCGGTTGTGGTACATGTACATTAAATGATGTGGTGTGATTTAATTGAGTCAAAATCTCATCAACCAAATAAAAAATTTGTTCACTTTCTTTTTGACACATCATTAATCTGTAAAAGATTATATAAACCGTAATGTACAATAAGTATTTTTCATACTAGATTAGAGGAGACATAATTTTGTACATATTGTATTGAACGTGGTAATAACCAATACTCTATATCGATTTACCTTATGAAATTGCTTTCTTTCAGTTTTTATTCCTTCACCCTTGTGCTATGCTTCCATCTTGTACATGTACAATAGAATATGAACTCTCAAAGACTTCAACTATATTAAACTATGTCTATATTGTTCAAGATTTTAGAGTTGTAATTGTATCTTTGTACCCACAAGTTCAAATATTGTGATTTTAGATATAATGAAGCTTTTTAAGTCTCCCGTCTACTCACCTCATACTGCGACATTCATGTATATTAAGATTCAGTTATATAGTATTGAATCTTCTCATTCGTGTCTAAATCTATAATCTACTTGAAAAGGAAAGTAAGATTGTATGTTAGGATAAAAAGAGTTTTCTGTGGATTTTAGTCCAATTTTCCATAACTACGATCATCTTAGCATCAAATCGGACCTATAGTCTCCTAACCCTCTTGAGGCGCAAGCTTGGATAGTGCATGAGTACGCTCCTTGCCCTATTTCCAAGGAAAATGGCTGGTCGGCCTTCCTACGAATCATTTAACTTGGGCCTTTGAGAAGGGAAGCAAATGGGGAGTTGATGAAACACGCTTATTGAGAGCGTGAGGCATTAGGACTTCCAAATCTGTGGGGGGGGTGGGGGGGTGGGGGGGGTCCGGTTGCTTTAGAAAGAGCCAAGCCCTAGATTTCTGAGTCAAAAAGATAAAGTAATGTCTTTAAAGTAAGGTAGGGTTCTTTAGCCCATTTCTTGTCATTGTTGTAATCCAACCTCAGGACATGCTTTGGACATGTTTTTTTTTTTAACATTCTTGCACTTTTACTCACTTTACCACCCAATTTCTCACTAATTATGAGGAAATTCAATGTTGGTTCAACATTCAATTTTAAAGACGTGGTAATTTCGAGTAGATAAAATTCATAAATTCGATTTTCGTTACAATCGATTTATGACAGTGTGAAAGCACCAATGTTTTGATTAAAAATATAAATATCGATAGTAAAAGTCTCATAAGGAAAGTCCACGTCTAGCATCCCATATTTCCAAGGTACTCAAGAATCAAACTTTTTACAATTTTATTGAAAAATCACTATTAAAAACTCGCGATCATATGCCATATAACTCAATGGATCCTAATGTGACATACGGTCACAAATTTCATGAGTGGTGTTCAAATAAGCCAGTACAAAACATAAAATCGACTATGGTGATTCAACCTCAGCCCCTCATGTGGTACCTGCATTCTAAGTCTCCATGACAAAATCCCTTACTTTTCTAAAACAAAAGTATAAGGAAAGAAAATGAAGAATTTTATTATTTGTTACACAAAAGTATCACTTAAATTGATATTATAGCACTAATGATACTAAATAGCATTATTTATTAACAAATCTCGAATAGGACAGAGTAACAAGTTTCATGTCTGCAGGTGAATACACCTAGACAAGGAAGCTAAACAAATCAATAATCATGTCTTTATGTCCTTGGAAATTTATTTATGCAACAAAAATATTGAATATACAATACAAAAAAAATATATATGTTTTTTGTTTTGTAAATGTTAATGTAATGACTGCATCACTTAAAGCACAAGATATGTGTTGAATTTGATTACATTGTCTCTTCTCAACAATACATGTCAATTCTCATGAGAAGATTGAGAGGGAACACAAGTCACGTGGATTGCATGTGATCATTCCACCGAAACACGAGGGTGTTATTTTCTTGTCCTCATCTACACGTGTGGATTTGAGCCCACATGTGTTTCTTTTAAATTATTAATATTTTAACAAATAATTGAAATATACATCTATTAGATGACACGTGTTTGTATGATACATTTCACTAGCGATTGCACGTGTCATGTAAAGATGACATTTTCTATGTTTTGTCGGTGTACGTCGAACCGATATATTCTTTGTTGATTATTCTAGAGCTAAAATTATGAGTTGTTTGGTGGGATTAAAATTAAAATTTTATTATATTGTGATAGAAGTTTTTGAAATGTGTGGTTGAAATGTCGTGATTAATATTGATTGTTTAACTTTGACTTGAATTAAAATATGATTTTAATCTGAAACAAACGGGACCTTAATAAACTTCCTTTAATTATTTTGTTATTTTTTTTTTTTTCAAATAAGTCCCAAATATAAAGTTTTTAGTTGTTAATTTCACCTTATAATGGCCAAAAAACTAGGGGTATTTATATAAATGTAACACATTTTAATTGTAATGAATCTTCTCAGCCTTCATTCATTTTCGCGTTTAGGTCTTATAATTTATTTTGGGATTGTGGGCTCCACCCCATGTGAGGGTTATGGACACCCCTATGTACTATAATTATGTACACCAAGCAAAGTCCTTATTTATATATGACTCAAACAGTCTGTGTTAATGCTCAATTGGCTCTGGAACTTGCCTGGAAAAGGAAGAAATACAGACTAAACTTTATTGTAAGAGGAAATAATTATACAATATATATTACGTTTCTCTTATATTTCCAGGCTATTTTAATACACACAAATAATATTTTAAAATTAGTCTTTATTTTAATTGGACACAATGAGGAATATCAGTTTAGATCTATTCTGTTTTCCTTTTCTAAAATTCATGGTCCAAATGGAGTGTGCATGTCCAATTGTTAGATATGGGAAAACTATACCCATGAAATTAGTTCTTATATTTTTCCAGGGTGTCGGATGGCATGATATGTAGTTTTAGATTATGTGAACCTGGCTGATTTCCTGATTGAGCATCTTACCAAGAGAAAATCTTGATTCTGATTCACCTTTCTAATCATGTTACTCTAGTTAGCAATTATAAAAGAAGAATACAAGTTTTAAGAATTAAAAGATCTTATTTATTTTATTTAGCATATTTGAAATGAGAGGAGTCACTTTCCATTCTTTGAGTTGGGAGGCTGAAGAATTTGTCACAACTCCCAGTTTACTTGGATGCCAGAGTAAACCTT